GAACTTGATTTTTAAGGGGGAAAAAATGAGCTACTGGTTAGGGCAGTGCCATAGATTGCCTGTGATGTTGAAACTAATTTACCCTTTGCCTTTCTTTCTTTCTCTCTCTCTTTAAAAAACATATTATACTACTTCTTCTAGAACAGGAAACCTCCTCCCCTCTTCCTCTCCCTTTTCCCCTCCTCCTGTTCACCTCTTGAGAAGTATGGTCATAACAGTCTATTAATCTGAGAGAATTGAGATTGTACTCTTGGAAGAAACTTGGAAGAGAAGCTGGGGGTGTTAATTAGACAGATTGAAGCAGGAGATTCAGCTGATGTTAGCAGAAAGATAGTGATGTAGATTGCTTTCATCTTCAGCCTAAGCGTGAATTCCCTTCTGCTGCCATGATTACAGCAAGACTTTGGCTCCTCTGTCTTTTCTAGCCATGTCTCTTTCTCACTTTAAAATTGCTACTAGAACTTCTTTGTAAACTACTTTAAGTACAGAAGTCCTTTAATTTGGTTTTTCTTTCTGGAAAACATATTGAAGATTGCTTCCAGATATTTGTCACAAGCAAATGTAGATTTTCTAGTGACAGACTGTCTATTTAAAATGCCTCAGTTGATTGGGGAAAAATCAACAACATTTCCATTTTACTATTCATTTCATACATTTTTAGAAAGTATATGTTGCATAGCAAGTGAATAAATCTTCAAAAGTGCATGTTTACTAGCACTCCCTTCCCTGGGAGTTATCCAGGAAGCTGATTTGCTATGGCTGTTCTGATTTTCCAAAGTAGAATACGTGGGAATTAAATGAAATACCCAGGTGGCTTTTACTACTAAGAAAATCCTAACATTTATGTGTGATCTACTTTTATAACACACACACACACACACACACACACACACTTAGAAAAAATTATACCTGTAATACCATCATTCAGTTTCTTTGGGAAGGGCAAAAGGACAGCCAGTGAGACTGAAGAGTGAGTAAGAGGAAGCTCTTTTTGATGTACCACCAATAATTGTAATAAGTGGGAAATTCTGTTGAATTTTACTTCCTAGCGTTTTGTTCTGTTTATCAAAACCTAGGTAGTCTATGGTGGTGTTTGTGCATGACAATATTATTTCTTAAATATCTCTGTCCCTCAAAACAAACAAAAAGCAAACAAGCAAACAAAAACCAGTGCTTCCTCTCCTTTTTAAGAGATGCTGCCAACCTTTAATTAGGCCAAGGCAAGCTGATTATCTGTGGTAGTGATAGTAGTGAGTACCAACATTCACATTTGGTGACTTTCTCTAGAAAGGGCCCCTCAAAGACAGGGTGGAGCTGAGAAGGCATAGACAGTGAATTTTCCAATGCATGCTTTAAGGTAGGCAGTGCAGCTCCATGGGGTCCCATGTAGTGTGGCAGACCAGGGGTACCTGAATAAATAGAAAGTGATGAACTCAGGGTATGACATGGATAGAGGCCCAGCACATCTCATGCAATTGGGTTGCCTTTAGAAACAGCAACAAGAACAACCCAACTTCAAGCCAACGTGCCACTGGAAACCCTTACATAATTGTAGCAGGTTTGGGTTTCCTCTGGTTCAAGTTTTCTTGCCTCTTTGATAATCAGACGATCTGAAGAAAGGCATAGGATTTCAGGGGAGAATCTGCATGACAGGCGTACAATGAAGCCATTCACCACTGCTCTTTTTTATTAGCTTACACGGGATCTACATCATTCTTAGTCTCTGGCTTGGCTACAAGGCTCCATTTAAACTTAACCCAACTTGCAGACTTAACTGATCCAGGAATTACTCAATACGACTAGCCAGCTACTGTAGCTCTTTTTCCTCTTTTGATAAGGGGATTTAACACAATGGGCTTTACAGTTCTTAAATGACTCAGTTTTTTTCTTCTGTCTTTGAGTTGTGGTGCTTATATGACCTTTTGTTCTTAATAAAATTTCACGTGGCTTGATTATATTTTTTAAAAGTATAAACAAATACAATATTGACTCCCTCCCCTTTGAACAAAACTCTTTAAATCATATGTAGATGATATAGAAGTGAAATGAACATTCCAAATATTTACATAGTTGATTTCAATGTTAGATACTACTATGTTATTAAATATTTTATATTATTAAATCAAATTTGAAAAGATTTCCTTTATTTTTAAAGAGTAATTGTGATATAATTTTTAGCAGTATTCCAACTCTGAATTTCTATTGTTGCACACTTCTGGTTAATTTCACTATGATGTTCACCACATTGGACGGTATTTAACATTTTAGTGAAGTTAGCCAGGTGGTTAGAGGCCCATGAAATGACCACAGTACCAATATACTTCTGTTTTCTGTCAGGACATTCTTGGTTGTCCCTGAGTAGCTAGGGAAGGGGGAATCCCAACATAAAGGTGGCCAAGAGATGCCACTCACTACCCTTTTTTTTAAGGGTAGTAAGTACCCACACTTTGGATCCACATTTCTCAGAATAGTGGTTCCCAAATATTAGTCAGAAGAGGAATCCTCAGAGTGGTTGGTAACAATGCAGATGCCTGGATGCCACCCCTAGTCATTCTGATTCAGTGGGCCTGAGAATTTGCATTTTTAACAAGAACTCAGTTGATACTGACTGGCAGTTTTTTGGAACATAGTTAGATTAGTGGTGCTAAAGTCACCATGAATGTTGGGAGTCCATGCGTCCTTTCTTAGAGTATCTGTTGCCCCCAGGTGAGCAGGGACCCACCTTGGGTAGGAGTGAACCCCAGTGTGATCCCTTGAGGGGCAGGTGGCAGGAGGGACAGAACAGCTGCAGTCTTTCCAGAGTGTCAGAGCAGCTCACACATCCTCCTCCTGTTCACCTCCACCACAGGACCCCATGGTCCACCTCATCCTGCGTTCCCAGGAACGTGCATCATCCGTGGGTCAACACTGGTTTGTGGGGATGTCATCTCACCCTCACTTAAGCTTTGTGATGACAGTTTCAGAGTGGTTGTTATGTACAATAATGAACCTAAATTTACTTCTCTATCACCCCTCCCTGCCCCTACTAAAGCAATTTTCAGTTGTTAAAACAAAGTTCTTTTTTCAGAATTAGAAATGAATTCTCAAGAAGACTTTTGGGAATCGTGGATGTAACATGTTTGTTCATTTCATGAGAATGAGATTTTTCCTTGAAGATAGGTTGAGCTGATGCTCAGAACAGATAGGGGAAGTAAGTGGTAATGACACTGTTGAGGTTTACAGCCGTTTGCTGGAGGTGCTATTATGGGTTATGTTGTACTATCCACCCCTGTTTAGCTGGCAGACTTTTTCTGATGAGAATTTTCAGTTGGCAGACTTTACCCGCTTCCATTGCTCTTCTCTCTCCTTTCTTCCCCTCCTTTCTTTTCTCCCCTCTCTCGCCCTCCCTCCTTTGTGTGTCTGTTTCTCTTTCTTTCTGTGCAGCTGGGGATCAAACCCAGGGCTTTGTGCCTGCTAGGCAAACACTCTATCACTGAGCTGCGCCCCCCAGGCCCCTGATGGATTTTTTTTTCTTATAAGAATTTTCAGGACTATTCCCTGAAGACCTTAAAAGAGCACACTACAGGGATACTGCCACATTGATGTTCATAGCAGCACAATTCACAATTGCTAGACTGTGGAATCAACCCAGATGCCCTTCAATAGATGAATGGATAAAAAAAATGTGGCATTTATACACCATGGAGTATTACGCAGCACTAAAAAAATGACAAAATCACGGAATTTGCAGGGAAATGGATGGCACTAGAGCAGATTATGCT